ATCGTGCGATGGAGAGGATGGCGGAGCAGTTGCGCCAACTACAAGATAAAGTGGAGGGGAGGCCAGAGAGGAGAGCTCGAGGACACCCCTTTTCAAGGGAAATTCTCACTGCTCCGTTGCCAAACAATTTTAAGGAGACCAACTTGGTGTATGACGGGTCTTCTGACCCATCGAGGCATGTGAGGACCTTTGAAAATATGGCTGTGCTACATGGGTACTCTGATTCTGTTTGTTGCAGGGCATTTCTATCGACCTTGCGTGGAGGAGCACTCGATTGGTTTCACCAACTTCCACCTGGGTCAATCCCCAGCTTTGAGGATTTTACTGGCAAGCTTGTCAATCAATATTCGAGCGCGGTGGTGCAGGAGAAAACGTATTTAGCTTTGATGGCGATGAGGCAGGGGGAGAAAGAATCATTGAGGAAGTATGTTGCTCGATATAACCAAACATTTTAGAGGTGCACTCGGCTTCGGATGAGGTAAAGGCGGGTGGATTGATAAGGAGTCTTCGAGCAGGGCCTTGTCGAACTTCCCTAGCGAAAAGAAGAAGACTCCACAGAGGGGAAGATCGCCGAGGAGGGATTCGCCCAAGCGGGGTGGACAGAAGAGGGCATCGCCTCGAAGGGAGAGTCGAGATTCAAAACGGGAAAAGAGAGACGAGTGGCAGAGGAGGCCGATGTTGTTTGAGAGACAAAGATACCAAACTTTCACGCCCTTGAGGAAAGATATGACGGAGGTTCTCGAAGCCATGGAGCAGAAGATGCCGAGTGAGGACGTGACTTTGCCAAAGACGAGGTTTACAGGCCCAATTCGACCCAGGTCAGATATTTACTGCCGCTTTCACAAAGATTACGGCCACACCACGGAGAATTGCAGACATCTAAAGGATGAGATCGAGAGGCTGATTCGAGCAGGTTACTTAAAAGAATTTGTGTATCATGATAGGGTGAAGGGGAAAGGAAGGAGAAGGTGTAGGGAAGACTCGGAGGAAAGGAGCGATAGAGATGAGGAGGGAGATGGTCGAGGTGGTCGAGGAAAGAAGCCAAGGAGAGATGATGATAAGGGAGGACATGGAGGAGAGGCCCCGGTGAAGAGAGGAACTATCTACATGATATCTGGTGGTCCAACCGATGGTGACTCGAATAGGGCCAGGAAGGAGCACGCTCGAGCAGTGAAGAGGAAGAGAGAGGAGATGGGGATTACGGCCCGCATGCCAGTGATAAGTTTTAAGGCGGAGGATGCCGAGGGGGTTGTCTTGCCGCATAACGATGCTCTGGTGATAACCGCGGAGGTTGCAGGCTTTGATGTGAAGAGGGTCTTCATTGACACAGGAAGCTCGGTGGATGTGATGTTCTATGACTGTTTTGTGCAGATTAATAAGGAGTTGAGTATGGAGTTAAAACCGGTGACCATGGCACTTTACGGCTTTAATGGAGGAGAAGTCATGCCGATGGGAGAGGTCAGTTTGCCCGTGGCATTGGGATCAGGGGAGTTGAGGAAGGTGCGCATGGTGAGATTTGTGGTTGTAGGGGCTGAGTCATCTTATAACATCATCATGGGGCGGACGA